CATGCGGCTCGAATCGCTCTCCGCCACCCAGTGGTCCAGAGCGCTCCCTTCTCTGGAGTACCCTCTTCACTCTGATATTTCTCTCTATTAAAATTAATAGAGAAGAGTGCTCTGGGTAATTTGTCGTACCGAATAGAATGGCGAAATGTATTTGGTTGTCAGTAGCACGAAAGAATTTTTTTTTTAAATTCCTATTTGAAAAAATCCTCTATATGATGATCTCATGCGGCAGGTCTGAATTTATTTTTTGGTATTTTTTTCATATTATCTTGCAATAATAGTTGTGAATTCCTTTTTGGTTCAACATCTGGTGCGCTTATCTCACGATTTTCACTTACCACCCTCCTCTTATCAGAAATAAGTATCTTCAGATAAAGGAGAAGTTAAAGTAGAAATTATAAACGCCCTCATTATTTAAAACCAGCGATAACATTTATGAAAACAGCATTCCTATATCTAAATAATATTGTCGGAGTCCGTATTATGTTAAGCTCATGTTCCCTATGGATGTCTGTTCCAATTTTTCGGGTGAGCTCGGGCGCTTGTATTCTTTTGGTTCTAAGTATTATCCGTAACGATCTCTTTTTTCTCCTTTAGTTAATTATCCAATTCTTTCATATTTTATATTTGACTATTTTTTATACCAAAGATTAATATGAAATGGTTAATTATTTCAAATAAATAAAGAGGTACTTTAGAGGAAGCTAACATTGAAAATTAGTCATTTAAGCTCTGTTAGGCAACATCTGTGAGAATAAAACTTACGTTATATTAAAAACTGCTTAATAATACACTGATATGATGAGTTTAATCAAAACAGTTGGAGCTGTTTTGAGAAAATCTTAAAAATGTGTTAAATCGATGATATTAAGTACTCGGTTAGCCGGTTTCGAAGAAAATGTTGCTGTAACATCCCATGCTTATAAAAACCTAGAATATCCAATTACAGTTTCATACGACTTTTCGTTTTTGAGCTAGGCTGTTGCACACTCATAAGCCATTTTCTGGGACTTAGTTATTTGGACTCATCGGATCTCAAATCTTGGATTTCCGTTAAAAACTAAGATTAAAAAATTTCACATATATAGGTTAGTGAAAGTAAAAACAAAAAAGGGTGTATTGTTTAGACTACATCGCCGGCACCATGTTAAAGTAACGAATGTGCAACGTTAAACTGGCTCAAACTCGTTACCAGTAATTGGAGTACTTGAAGACCCTCAGTGCTCGAAACACACCCTGATGATGACCCATATGCTTGGGTTGAAACGTCGGCACCAATGAAAACCTTAAAAATGACTGCATCCTGACTATTTATCGCCCATAATACTATAAATTTCTTTATTTTTAGGTTATTTTATTATTATTTATTGTATATATATTATTTTTCTGTATAATTTATTTTATTTATTGTACATAGAGTGTGAATGTGATATCAGAACACTATTATAAATGTCCTTGAGACAGATTGTAATATTTTTCACTAAATTAAAAAATACTATAAATGTAAGATCTATCTTTCGGTAAATATTTATGTACAATAACACTTAGTTAAAAGTCCTTACATTATGAACTCCTCTCGACACCAAACTTCTAAAATCTATTAGCCGGGTTCTTTTTTCCCACCTTGTTTTTTATTTTATTTTTCCACCCTCCCATGCTACCAGGGCAATACGTGTGTATGCAGTAGTGCGGTGTTATCCATTAATGCATAATAACACACTACTGCCATAATATCAGTTAACATAATTCAAAGCTGTGCACACAGCTCTTCTAAACTTTTTCCCAGCTCGGACATCGGCCTCAGGGGACAGCAGGTCAGGAAGATGGCCGAGGGCAGGTAGTACAGGTAGGTGGCCAGGAACCTGGTGAGTCCTAATCCAGGTCCATCCATGGTGCTTGCTTGCTACCTGTGGTCTAGGACCGTAGGCTACCTGTGGAGGCACCTGCATTCTCCACTCTGTGGTCGAATTATCTTATCGAGTGAACAGCGATCGGGTGTTCATGATGTTTTAGTACTAACTTAATAAGGCGAAGCTTTTTGCTCCGATTTACACCTTTGGACACAGCCCTGATGAAGGCCTGAACTTCAGGTCGAAACGTCGGCAAATGTAAAAATTAATATTATCATTTATTTTTGCCTTCCTTTTTGACTGATCCCCCCAACTATTCTTCTCTTCATTATTCACGACAGTCAACCATTTACCTAAAATTAATAAGACAAAGTTTGCCGATCTTGAGGAAACGCCTCAATTCTGAGAATTTTATAAAAAAAAATAAAACGAACGGCACTGGCATAGGCGCCTACAGTCCTCTGCCACATCATCAGGTTCTCATGAATGGAATAGTTATATTGTTATAGTTATATTGTTATAATAATGTTTTTAGTATATTGTCGTGGTTTCATTAACGAACACATATTAATAAAATGATTTAATTATCCAAAACTCCTTTCTTGATGTGGGGTGGGTCGAGGATATTCCGCAATCCACTTTTTCCCTTTGATATTCCATGTCGTTGTTAAGGTGGTGTTTTGCAAAAATAATTACAATTTAAACGATTTGTTAGATTTGTTGTCTCGATACAGCCGACTTCATCGGACCTTTCTCTGCAGTCTGCAGCTAACCAACCTGCTACGAACATTCACCTTAGTTGTAATAGTTCAAAACTTAGCTGCCCATGACTTTTTTTGATCGCATACTTTGACTCCTAAGTAATGGAGTTAGAACATTATTGTTATCTGAAATATCGGTCTTATTTTTTTTTTAGCATAGAATATCCTTTTTTCGCTTATATAGCAGAAGTTGACAGCAGTACTAAAACATTCGCGTGGCATTTTCACAGTTTGCGTATACAGTTTCCGAAAAGTTAAGAATCATCTCGACTCTCTCAAATTGCACCGAGTGCTCATCCAACGCCTAAACTTAATTGATAATAATGGCTGTCCTGGACAGGTTCACCAACTGCAATAAAAAAAATGAGCAATTAATCTCGAAAAGTTCTATAAATATATCTGAAGTATATACCGTCTTAGAAATAAGAGCTAACCATACTTTTTAATTTTAATTTTTTTTTTTGTTACCGAAATAGAGTAGAATTTAGCTAACTACAATCCGGAAAGATTTTCGCTGTTGGTAATTGTTATAGTCCGTGGTACATACACCTTTTTATTAAATTATTAACATCCGCCTTAAACTTTGAAAATAGCTTCATCTCATCCTAACCTACAACATTTTTATTTACCGAAATTCTCCGAATTAAGGCCTTCATTAACAGTATTTGTTTTTCACTTGAATTCTAAGATAATTTTATTTAAAAAATTCCAAAAAACATTTTTAGCCATTAGTCTATCTGTGCCAAGATTTTCTCGAAAACTACTGAATCGATTTTGTTGCTTCTTTTTTTATTTTGTAGGATTTTGACTACCGATGCCTGTGACAGAAATTCGGTGCTCCATGCGCAATAGCTTGCGCGCAATAAATGAAAAACATTTATTTTTTTCTTTTAAGACTGTAGCGCAAGAACGGCTCTAACGATTTTGATGAAACTTTTCTATAATGTTCCAATCATTGTTCTTTTAATTTTCATATATAGACTAAATTCCCGAAAAACTTCAGTAAAAAAAGTTATAAAGAAAAGAAAAATGTTATAGGGCCTAACTCCCTAAGTATATATTATACGGTAAAATTTATAATAATACTTTTAAAAGGTAATTAAATTACCAACAGAAAAAAAAAACATCGGAATCGAACCAGTATTAACGATGATACAGCTTATTCTATTTTTTAAAACTTATTTTATTACTTTCTTACCTATACTAGGTAAGGAAAGTATTGCAATCGGGTCAAATTTCCGACATGCGGTTTTCGACGGATCTATACGTTTCAGAGCCTCCTGAGTCCGAAAAACACATTTTTAGCCATTGGTCTGTCGTTTAAAAGGTAATGAAATTCTCTACAAAGCCATATAAAAATCGTTCATCTTGGACAACTATTAACGAAGTTACAGCTATCCAATTTCCAATGTAAGATTACGGTTTCATATCCTAGTGTCAGAAAAGGGTGAATGAGGGAAAAAAAATGACTAAGTGAAAGTAAGAAAATCTGTTGCCTGCATGGCACAATCGTCACTATTTGCTATACTTTTAACATAAATTATTGTTTGACAATACTAAGCTATAGCAAAAAGTAAATAACATATTTGTAGGTTACGATGAGATGAAGCTATTTACAAAGTTTCAGCCGGATGTTAATAATTTTTTAAAAAGGGGCTCTGTACCACGGACTATTATGGTTAAATGGTTAAAACAGTCTTAAATATTAAAGCCAGATTCAATTTGAAATCTAATAACCGACACATCTGTTAATTTAAATACTTGAATAAGATGTTAAAACTAAATATTTCAATAACTCTGTTGCTGTTGGACACACAGAGGTTGCCCGCCGGCTTCAGCTATCGCGGAGGGTCCCATTGTTGTTCTGGGGGAGCTGCAAAAGGGTCCGAACATCTGCCGTGGCTGGGTTTCATTCATAAGTTGTTCACCAATACATTCTTCTCATTGTCATTCATTAATGGGTTGCACTATTTATAGGGTCTTGGGGAAATATGAAATTTCAGTGCGATGACCAAATTCGTTTTTAAATAAAAAGATGTTTTTCTATGAATAGACAGTGTTGTAATAAATTATAGGGTGAAATTTACCTAGTCCTGTCATGAATATTGTTGCAAGGTAATATATACCGATTTAAACAGAATTTTTTTGTTTAAACCTTACAAGATAAAATGTATCGAAAAAAATGAAATTACTCAAAATGCCCCCCTTTTGCCTTAACACAGGTATTTAATCTCCTTAGCCAGTCATCAATAGCTGCACCCAGCACTTCTTGAGGAAAGCGCTTAACTGCTCGGACCAGAGATTGTTTGAGGCTTTCCAAGTTAGGGTGTGCTCTGTGGCATGCCATCCTCTCCAGTTCGGACCAAAGCCGATATTCTAGTGGATTAGATCAGGGCTTCCTGAGGGCCAATCCGAGGCAGAGATGAACTATGGGATGTTCTTTTGCAGCCACTGCTGAGTTGGCCTGGCCTTGTGAGCTGGAGCGGAATCCTGCTTTGGGAAAATCTAATGCAGCCACTGCTCTCACTGCATTTGCCGTTCTCATAGTGCGGGGACGGCCTGGTCGAGGACTGTCACATACAGATAAGATCTCACTATATCTATTTATAGTGCTGTACACGATCATATGGCTGATACCCAAAGGTTTCATAGTGTTTAAAATCTCTGACCTACATTTTCCATCTTTGTGTAAGGCGATCACAGCTATTCAGTTTTCATTATCACCCCATTCCATTTTAACAGAGCAAAAGAAAAATTCAAACTAATGGGGATCATTATCCTGACTTGTTTAGAAAATAACCTATTAGAGGTAAGGATTATAACTAACCTTATCTAATAAAAAAAATTATAAATAATAAAGTATCACTTATTAAAATAACACAAAACTACCATGCGTTCATTCCTATCATTCCTAAAACTACATCACAAATATTTTTCGTAATGTTTTCTACCGATTGAGATGCTTGTGAAAAGGATTTGTCAAAAATATCCCAACACTCTTCAATTAGTAGACACAGGCAGGGCACGTACAATACTCGCTGCCTGGACGAAGCATAAACATAGCCTGTCACTTGACACAGTGAATTTGGAATTGGACTCCTCGTCCCGTTGGTTTTATCCTACTCCTCATATCGTGCAATTAAATGCAGACATCATTTATGGGATGATAGAATATTTTTTCTCCTATAATTTACTAGTTATTCAGAAAATAGAAAATTTGAAAATACATTTTAGACTTTCGGAAGAGACCCGTGAGACCTCGGAAGAGACCTCAACAGGTGGACACACACGCACACATATACACACTCACACACACACACACACACACACACACACACACACACACACACACACACACTCATACAGACACTCGGCAGCGACGATGGGGACAGGATGCAGGAGGCAGCTGGTAGATGGCTCTGCCGCGTGGCAACGCCGCCTTCTCGTTCTGCTCAGCTCAGGCCTCAGCAGCGCAATACTGTAGACTACGGAATTGATACAACTGCATTCATAATTAATTATAACTGCATCATAACTGTATTCATAATTAATTATATCTGCATCATAACTGTATTCATAATTAATTATATCTGCATCATAACTGTATTCATAATTAATTATAACTGTATTGCTAATTAATTATGTATACAGTATTTGGAATAGGAGCACTCCACCTATAGCCCAGTCAAAGTAGACATGTTACCTTGCAAAGGTCTGGTAATTCAAATTTCTTTATTATATTGTTAGGTATGTAGGTATGTAGGTATGTAGTGAATGTAAAAAATATCAAAGTGCCAGCCCTTGAAAGACTTGTGGGTTCGCTGCAGTGCTACAAAAACCATTGAAATTTCCATTTTTTTTTTTTTTTTTTTTTGGTTTATAATAAATATTTCCTTTTTAGAGCAACGTAGTTTAAAATGGCCAGATTCGATCTTAAACAGCTTAAAATTATCAAAGGAAGGAGATGGTCCGGGGTTGCGGTCATAAAAAGGCTAAATAGTGGTAAAACTAAAGGCTTTCAATAAATTAGTTGATCAATAAACAAATAAATAAATAAATTTTTGGCTTTCAATAAAATAGTTTTACCACTATTTAGCCTATTTATGACCGCAACCCCGGACCATCTCCTTCCTTCATAATGCAACGGTCAACTATTAAATATTGAATAAAATTATCAAACATTTTAGTACATAACATTTTTTTCTAAACCTAACAGCAAGCGAACTATCGAGCTTTCAAAATTTAGCCATTTCGATTTCCTCACGATACTGCTCTTTCAGTTTTAAACAGAGGAATTATGTAACTCCATTTTGAACCTCGTTCAGATAAGCACACGGCAAGGCGCCTAGAGTCCTGTTGCACATCATTAAGTACTCATAAAGGTTAAATTTATAGTGTGCTATAATGATTGTATTAATATTTCATTGTATTAAACAACAAATATTTATTTAATTGGCTTTTTGTTTTTTCAAAACTTTACTCATTAACCCTGTTTTTTTTTTAATGTTAATTTTAAGCTGTTTAAGATTGAATATGGCTATTTTTTTATCGACGTCACTTTAAAAAAGAGATATTTAGCGTAAACCATAAACAGTTGGAAATTTCAATGGTTATCAATGAAAGCACTGCAGCTGATGCTTTCAAGGACGGAAACGTGGATTTTTTATATTCCCTGCGCACCTAACATTATGAAAAGGAAATTTGAACCACCCGACCTTCTGCAAGGTAGACCCTTTGCTTTGTGCTAATTTGATTGGACCAGCAGTTAGCATAGCTAGCGGAAGACCCTCTCGATTTGTTTTCAGAAATTATAAAATTGGGACGGGTTAACTTCAACACGGCTCCACCTATCTATCTACATGGAAATCCAGGGCCGCGTAAACTGCATAAAATGGCACAAAGATGACTCGTGTAAACATATTGCGACTGGAGATATATAATAACAACCTTTCAGGAGTTTTGATTGTTATCAAAATATCGTCGGTTTTTTCAAAAAATCACTAAACGATCTTTTTAATGAATTTGAAGAAAAAATATCATTTTGATTACGAATTTCGTGTTATTTGCAATTCTAAATATGTATCCTATTTTAACAGTTAATTAAAAGCAACAGTTACATTCTACTTTAACTTTATTTAGAGAACAGGGATTTCATGACTTTTTGCTTTGTAAATTCATCGTGCACTTACAGAAACTATTTTTTACGTACAAACGGATTTTTATTATTTTAAAGCACTTAATAAGTTATTCAATTGATAAATATGATCGAAATTAACAGCTACAACTATTATCTTCAGATAAAAATCGACCAAAAGATCACTTAGTGACTTTTTGAAATTAACCGACGATATGCTCTATTTTCTTACATCCTTGTTTTGGTTTTATTCTTTTATTTATTTTAGTTTTTTATTTACAAATTTCTATTTTGTTTGTTGAACTTAATAAATACATAACAACGGTTGAAAATTTAAACGTAAGGATTCATAGATATAACACAGTTCTTTTAGTTTTATTGGGTGTTATAATCTAAATTACGTTCATTGCTGCTGGAATTATGTTGATGAAGTTCTAAACATATTGTCTAAAAAATATTTACGATTTATTAAATTAATAGAAAACTAGTAACAGTTGAGTGTATTAAAAACTGTACCCCCACCGCACGCTGTGCCATAGAGGTACAATAAAGATGGATAGAACATGAGGCAAAGAGGTATAAAATGTTTACGACGACTATTACAGTAGCTATCGAGGAGGCACTGTCGATATGGCAGCCCCCCTCACGACAGTAGTTAGTGAGCGTCATAACGTACGATGGTTTACAGTCCACTCTTTCTCAACAATATCCTGTCAGTAACTACCGTTAGACCTTAAATTTCTATCCCAGAACGAATTTGTTTTTACCATTTTTCAAAAAATGGGTTTTTACCATTCTACCACACTGAAGAGCATTAATACACTAGGGCTACAGTAATCTGTACTTTACTCAATATGTACTTATAAATAATAACTAAAATAGAGAAAATAAATAATATAAGAAAATTAATATACCTATGTACAGAAAATAAAATAATATATAGTTAAATGAAATTAAAATAAATAAAACTCATATGTACAATATTTACATTGGCCGATGGGACTAATGCTTTGTCCCCCAAATGTGGATTCAGTATGCCAACGCAGGACCCCCAGGAGATCCAGTGGAGACTGATAGAGGGCACTAGAGCAACATACACTGAGGAGTGGGGAATCTGGCCATTGCCGGAACTATTTACAAATTTACAGAAGGAGCTACAATTAACACGCCTCATAACAGCCTCAGGAGGCTCAGAAGAAGCCGGATGAGGGATCATTTCGCTTAGAAATTAATATTAAAATCAAGATAGGTAGGGATGCCGCTGGACGCTTCCCTCACGCCAATATGCTAAACATATTGGGTTGGTAAATAAGTCCTTTCGGTTTTTCAGGGTGAAATAAAACCCAATGTACTATAGACATAAAATTTATTTTAATCTACAGTATATTGAACATTATTTTATATGACTTTTTCTTATCTTTCCAGTAACTGCATAATGGCTATGTTCATAAAATTTCTGGAATTTATTGTTAAAAACTGATTCGATTGTTTTTTTATGTCCTCTTCCTTTTGGAATTACTTTCCATTCAGGGAGTTCTGTAGTCACTTGGAGCTAGGTGTAATGAATAGGGAGGGTGGGGCAATAGGTGCAATCCAAGGCTCAATAATTTATTGCGAGTGACCAATGAGGTGTGGGCCTAGCGTCGTTTTGGTGGAACACAACACCCTTCCGATCATTTATAACTGTTCAGGTTGTTCTACAAATTCGATCTTCCTATATCTTATGGAAAGCTATAGTAACATATACTAAATACATAATTAGTATTATTATTTTCTACAGACAGTAAACACTCTTTTTTAGCCGACCTGCCCAAGGAGTACAAACCCTCTTTTCGCCAAATATTTCGAGGCTTGTTCTCAAGCGATTGTCTCCCTTCTTTTTGGCCCGCGGACCACATTGGGACCTCCACTCCTGGTTTGCGATAAAAAAAAAAAATATATTATTCTTTATATTTACCATATTTATGTATATATATATATATATATATATATATATATATATATATATATATATATATATATATATATATATATTATTATATATTTACCACTCCTGCAGTAAATGTTAGTTATGGTAACCTCGTCTTCAAGTCATTTATTAAATTTCATATTTTTGCATTAGTTTTTATAATATTAACATCTGATCAGAAACACTTTCGCGGGGCGGAGTTTAGAGACCTCTGTTAAGGCTCACTAATTTGTTTTTAAAAATTCTTTATTTCTTTGGACAGACAGTAAAGTTTTAAAGAACCGACAATTTCTATGTTTAATTTTTATATAAGTATGACTGTGTTTTTATGTTTTTTTAATTTACTTATCTTTAGGTTATTTTATTTTTTATTGTACATAGTTTTTGATTATTATTTTACTTTTATTAATTTTATATTTTCTGTATATATGGTGTGAATGTGTTCATGTATCACTATATAATATTGTCCACGTGACAGATTGTTATAATTCTAAATAAATAAATAAAATTAAAAAAAAAAATTGTGTGGGGCTATTACTGTCTAAAATTTAAAATATACTGACTTCATTTATTTTTAACAAAGGAATCGAATACATTAATTTATTTTTTAAAATATTCTTAAATATTAGTTTTTTATAATTAAACTCGTCTATTAAATTTGTAAAAACTAAAATCATCGATTTGTACACAGCACATGTAGTTTTTAGGTTATTTATAATTTTAATTTTTCTGGTATAACTATTTTATTTTATATTTAACTTTATCAATACTGTCTTTATATTTTAACTAAGGAAAGGTATTGTGTTAGGCCAAAGCTTCGTAAGGTATCTTGTCCAGGCTGCGGTGTCCATTCCCTCTGTCCATGGTTGAAAGCGCGTGAACTTCCCTTTCTTCCGAAGAAATGTTCTAGCTCCCCTCTTTTTATAAGGTACAAGCGAAAGTACAATCAGAAATGTGGTAGATGATATGCAAATACACTTGCAGTGGTCTGGTCCATGTTTTTCCTCTTGGTCCCTGGATTGAAACTTTTTCACTAAAAATCATAATCATGAAGAGAAGGATGTTTGGGGTGACCAGTCAGAAATAAGAAGGCAAAAATAAATAATAATTATTTATTATTATTTTATTATTTTAACATTTGCCGACGTTTCGACCTCAAGTTCAGGCCTTCGTCAATGCTCGTCCAATAGCTAGCTGGAATAGAGTGTATTACTCTGTCACTATTACTTTATTACTACTGTCACTCTATTCAAGCTAGCTATTGGACGACCCCTGATGAAGGCCTGAACTTCAGGTCGAAACGTCGGCAAATGTTAAAATAAATATTATTATTTATTTTTGCCTTCTTATTTCTGACTGATCATCCCAACCATCC